GTAGTGATACTGTTTCAATATATGTCTAATATAAAATTCATCATTTTCAACATGGAAACCACATATTCTAGTGGCTGAAACAATATTTTTAAAGGCTCATGTATAGAACTCTGAGAGGTTATTTTTTTTAAATAAAATTATTTTGACAATATGTCTAACCTGATTTCCTGTATATGAAACTCTGTACTACATTTGAAAGTCTTACTGCTTTTAAATTTAAAAAGAATAAATTTTTTAAACGATTTTGTTCAAATGCAAAATCATTTACCTTCTGTTGATACAATATTCAGTACTTAATTCCACATAAACAAACTTTAGAAAGAACTCTAACCATTAGTAACTGACATTCAAGTCTAACAAAGTGGCCAGTCCCAGATTTAAACATCCTGAATAAGCTTAATCAGCTTTAGCTAAAAGTAAAAATTAAGGATATAGCTTTGAATCATGGTAATTAACAATGACAGTAATATATTTTAGATATTAATCAATAGTATGAGATCAATGTTCAAATGTATTTTATACATTATGTTGCTGTGGATAAGAGTAGCTCATTACATACATGAAGGGGTATTTTTCTAAATCACCTTAGACATTAGTAAATATTTTATATATACACTGCATCAGAATTTCCCACAAAGTTATACAAAGCTGCTTTGAACTGACAGACTGGTGGGAAGGCAGCTAGTGAACAACATTCACCATTAACAAATGGTAGATTCAAGAAATTATTGAATACTGTGTTATTAATCCTTGCCATAATTATGATTTGTAAATGACTAAATTGGTTACAATAAATCTTTAGTTACTTAATCTAATTCACACTATAATTCATGATATAAATAGCACCAGCCAGTGTGATGAGCCCTGGTGTTGGATGAAAGGCACTGGATATGGCAGATATAGTGATTAGCATATTAATATATATTCTTCTAAACCCTTAAGGTCTTAGAACAAATGTGAGTTGGGGCATTACGTAAGAGAAATAGGGTCTATACCTAATTTGATAAATGTGATTTTTGTAAAAACTAATACTATTTATAATATTGTCTTAGTCACATAGTATTTCGATAATGTATCGAATGTTACGTTATTTGAAATCTTCTCAGATAAAAGTTAATCCATAGGTAGGTATTAAAACAAAAAAATAGAGGTTTTTGAGTTTTCTGAGCAAAATTTAAGTAAGTCAGATTCAATCACAACTACAACGCCAAGATAAAATGTTTCACAGACAGTACAATTTGTTAACATACATATTAGAGAAGTCACTTTGAAGAAATATATTTAATAAAATGTTATTTATCTCAAAATCAGCTTTCAGAGTAAATGGCTATTGGACAATACGTAAGACAACTTCAAGTGATAACCACCATGCAAGATATGAAATATAACTTGTTAGTTTTACTTGGGATTATATTCCATTCTCATTTTATGCTACGTCAGCCAGATAATCGTAAGTTATAGAAAAGAGAAACCACTGTTTCCTACTGCTCCATCCTTTTACACGAGTCTCTTTCTACATGCAAGGTACCAAGATGAACAAGTTTTAAGGTTACACCTATGAATGGAAGACATTACTTAGAAAAAGATTAAGGTATTTCAAGGTTGAGTATATCCTGTTTGTTTGGAACTTGTAACTAAATACCAAAAGCCTGTGCTAACACTTAAGTTTTTTAAAGGATAATATATAGAGCGTTTGCCTATGCTGTGTTAAAACAAAATATTCTCGTACTTCGAGGGTAAGGTGGGGCATCTGCCCCCCTCAAATGAGAACCATAATTCTTTCTTTATTCATTCAGTATATGTATATGAATAGTCCCTTGATTTTGCTCCTCCCCTGGAAAAATGTCTGCGTACGCCCTCTATTTGTTTCTACAACATATCTGTTCAACCGTTACATACCACAACACATTGAAAAATGAAATGAGTATATATGGAAAGGTCTATCCGGATACATAATTGTCCTGTATTGAGTGGTTGCGATATCTTGACGGAAAAAATAAATACATGGTTATACATCGCTACTCAATCAGATAAGTCAAAATCCAGAACTCGAAACATTGAAGAGCTGGCACCAGCAATTCAAAGTTGCAAGACAGTGTCACGGTGTAATTCTGGTGTCATTATTAAACATGAACGGCAACTTTCTATACTTTGGTCAGGAGAGGAAAGGTTTGATGTGTTTTAATATTTATGAAAGAGTTTAATTTAAAATAATCGAAAAATATCTTATAAATTGTGTGCTCATGATATTAAATTGTCATGTTAGTTCAACAAATATTTTACATTTTCATTTCCTTATGTTATAAAATATACCTATTTTTCTAATTATGTTTTCAGAAATCTGGCTTTATGATTTACCTTTCTTGATATTGGCGATATTATTATAGATGAGTTCGTAGTTTCAGGCCAAGTAGTAGAAAATCGAAGATGTTAATTAAATTCAGTACTTTTCTTAGTCTTACGTTGACGGTCTTTGTTTGTTTTGTTTTTGAATTTTGTGCAAAGCTACACAAGGGCTATCTGCACTAGCCATCCCTAATTTAGCAGTGTAAGACTAGAGGAAAGGCAGCTAGCCAACTCTTAGTCTACACTTTTACCAGCGAATAGTGGGATTGGCGGTCACATTATAATGCCCCCATGGCTGAAAGGGCGAGCATGTTTGGGGGGAATCGTGTAGTAATGTTTAAATGCTCTGTAGAGGTACTGAAAGGAAAAAAATGGCAAAATAAATGTAAAAGACTACATTTAACTGATAAAAACAGTTAATTGAAATGCTGTCAAAATATTACTGCCTTTTCAGCACATTTAATATATGGCAGCTTGTTTCTGTACTATCCTCAATAGTATATCTCTGTTTCCTGGGTAAAAAGTATATTTCACACGAAACAAGCACATTCTTTCAAAAAATTATTACATTCAGGGAAAGTATGTTTGAAAATACATGTATCCATATGATCCTGTACTAAAAAGTTTGCAGTTTGCCTGACATTTCAGACAAAGACTACTTTGGTACTTTCCCTCAGGTGGTCTTTGTTCACAGGTGTGACTAACCAATAGAACCTACAACAAGCACATTTGCAGTTTTTTTCAGCACCCTAGTATATTGTTTCTAGTATTTACTCTCTTTTATTACAAACTGTTGTTAATTCAGCAGTGTAGGGTAAAATGAACAGTTGATAACTGACATCAAATACATAATACCATGTTGGATGACACTTTGTAAAAGGTTGTGGCAAGTGCACAGAAAGCTAAGAGATTTTACCAGCAGGAATTTGGGATGAATACTGAGAGAACATAATATGTACAGAAAACAATAACTCTCCCAGAACATAGGTGCTCCCTGAATCACTAGTCATTCCATAAATGAAAGTACGGATGACCTAGCCTCCATACACTTCTAAACTTAAACACAATGATGTTGCTAGAAGAAGTCAATACAAAATCAAAACTAGTCCTCCAACAACATTATCCTTGAAAATAGCCCAACAAGTATTTAAGTGAGACATACACCTTTACAGTGTATAACAAGCACATAAAGCACTTCACAAAGCAGGTTTCTTTTAATGAAAGTCTGTTATTTTCAAGAACCACACATTAAAGTTCGGTCAAAATTTCTAGCTAAACTTAAAGTAATCTATTTTTAATAAATTCTGTTATTAAATTAATATTTAGATGTAAATTTTTTATTTCACTTTTTAATCTTTCCTTTAAATTTGTTTCTTCAGAAGCTTCAGGTAGGATAAATATAAAAGTGATATATACACACACACACACACAAATTGTATCTTCATCAAAAACAGATGTACACTGTTTGGCTAGGAGGTACTTAAGAAACAAATCCTTAAAATTATCTTTTAATTTCTAACTAGGATCCACAGGTAGTGATGAAAATTCCACTGTGACCACTGAAGTTTTGCAAACAGTATTAGCACTGTCTACATGTGATAAACAAACACAGACCCAAGTCACTCAAGAAACATTTACCAAATCCTACTCACACCGGCTCTAAGCATATGTTTATTTGTTTATGAATTTCATGCAAAGCTACTTGAAGGTTGTCTGAGCTAATAGTCCCTAATTTTGAAGTGACAGACTAAATGGAAGGCAATTAATCAAACACCATCCACAGCAACTCTTGGGCTGCTCTTTACCAACAAATAATGAGATTGACCATCACATTATAATGCCCTCATGGCTGAAAGGGTGAATATGTTCAGTGATTAGATTTGAACCCGGGACCAACAGATTGAGAGTCAAGTGCCCTAACCCTGTGGTATGCCAGGCCAGCTCCAAACATACAATGTCTTGAATTTAAAATTGTTAAATTAAGACCTTATGGAAAACAAATGTTCATTTTGTTGACATATGTAAAACTTCATATACATGATTTTATACACAAAAGCTTCTGTTTACTCCTTATTTTTAGTAAAGAGTTTACATACCAAACTTGTATATGTTCCTGGTGCATCTTTAGCAAGGTTTGAAGCAACCAATGATAATGGTAATCTGCTACAAGTTTAATTTATTGTCTGTATATTTAGTAAGGTCTCATGATAGCATAATTTTCACAAATATGACAATCATCTGTAAAGAGCATGTTGAATTATTCTTGTTTGCATTGATCTTCTTAAGCTTCACACTGCAACTGGTGTCAATTTTTATACACTATACAACACCCACAAACATTTCTCCAACATTATTACTCTAATTTTCATGATTTGCAAAAGAGAAAGTTTTGAGTCATGGGACATATAATCAATCAGCTGGAGAAACCATACTATTAACAAGTTATCAATGATCTCATGAGTATTAACTCTGTGTTCATGTTCATACCTTTATTCTTAAGTTCCAGTTCATATATGTTATACAGTAGTTAGTGTTTCAATGATACAGCACTCTCAAAGTTATACTCATCTTTTTTTAGATTTTTTATTTAATGTTTTTTTTTCACCTATGTAACTAGTGATTTAATATTCTGTTGAAACAGTCTTCCAATCTTCTCATCAACAAATGAACTGTCAAGTTTATTTCTTTCATTTCAACACTAACATAGTTTCTTTCAAATCACAGTAAATTCAGGTTTGTTGATACATTAAACACATCCAAACAGCTCAAGTTAGAGATATCTAAGAAAACATACAATTCTCAATACCATTTTCTATGTTATATACAACCTGGTTAAGTCATTTTCGTCAGACAACTTCTCTCACAACTAGGAAGCTGCCATGGCTGTATGCCCTAATCTTCATTTCAAAAACTGAAGGAAGTATTATAAATTGAATTATAGATTTTATGTTTATTTTTGTGTCCTAATGTTTCAAATGCACACTTGTGTACTGCTTACCATTGATCATTTCTGACGTGATGCAAGTTTCTATAACATTAATAAACTCTCTATAAACATTAGTTAAAAAAACACAATAAAGGGTTAGCCAATGTAGCTAACTGTATTTATGGATGTGATTGTGAAGAAAATTGAGTACCTTCATATAAAATTATTCAACTGTGATAAAAAGATTCAAGTTTCAAAATGGAGAAAACATTTATTTATTTACATCCCATGTTTTCCATCTTAAGTTAAGTTATACTTTGCCCGAATATAAACTCACATTTAAAATGTGTATACATTTAACTAAAAATAAAAATGATAAACTCAAGAACAACAACAAAAACTGCAATTTTGATGTTCCTCCAAACAATATATAATCTTTAATTTAAAAAATACTTTTTATAAAGAAATTATTCTGATTCTCTATGTATAATAACTTTTTCTTCTGTGATCAAAACTATCCAATGAGTTATTTGCACTGAGCTCATTGCTGGAATCAAATATTGATTTTTAGCATTATAAGCCCTCAAACTTACTGCTGAGCCAACAAGGGGACACACATTATCAGTAGTAGTAATTTAATCATTTTGTGTTTTCATTAATTTGGTACGTTCACAGACACTGAAAGCTTTGTAACATGTATATATATATATGTCTATCTATTTATCTATCTATATATATAAACCTTTTACTTCTATCCACTCAAAGCAGTAAACAAATAATGACATTTCAATAATATATTTTAACATTTACTTGTTTTTCTGCTCTTCAATATGCAAGTCATTATTTCACTGAAAAACTTCTGCAGATTAATACAATGCCCAATTTTTAAAAGGAGTAATCTCTTCAGCATGGTACATGCATTTCATGGAAAATTTTATTACTTGTTTTAACTAAAAGATATTAAATTATAAAGCAAGTTTCCAAAAATTTGATCCATATATAAATCAGGAGAAAAACATAGTTTTCATTTTCAAGATTTGAATTAATTAATTTCTAATTATTTTAAACTTGCTGTGGTATGCACAAATATATTCTACTAATTTCTATCATATAGATCACCCAATCAATCTCTTTATTAGGCCAATGTATAGGTTTTACAAGAATTGTATACTTATTAAACTTAGGCCCTATGTTCTCTCCTTGAATTTATTAACATTAGTGAGACTTACCCCATCATTACTGCATTAGGGGTATTCTATTCTCCTGCTGCTCAAATGTCTATGTGAATTAAAGCATTGAAAGTTCCTCAGTTATTATGCTTTCAGTTTTAAAAACCCTTTCAAGTACAACATGGTAAAAAGTTATGATTTTCCCCACTTCCTGCATAAAACAAAATACAATGTTGAATATCTTTAAGTATTTCATATTATGAAATATTTATCACAAAACATCTGAAACAAAATAACCAATAACTTCAAAACTGTATCAAACAATGGTGACAAGTTTATAGGTCTCATTTTTTTCATTACACATACTAAATAGATACAATAACATTCTCTACTGTCTTGGTGTCGAAAATGTTGTATTTTACAATTTTACTTATAACATGGACATACATGCATGAAATTCTATATTAATAATTACTTAAAACATTTAATTTTTGTTACTGTCTCTGTTATACAAGTTTTATGCCAGAGAAACATTTTCAACAATATTATTTTAACATAACTCAGAGAGAGAACAAAGTTAAAGCACTTGTATACACTTTAACATAAGCTGCATGTGTTTTTAATGTTCAAAGCATTCAGTATCTATGATGTGTATTCAGTGTGAATTCTTAAAAAATAAACACGTGTGAGACAATAATGTTGCACTTATAAATTTTATTTAATAAATAATTTTTTTTCCAGTTTCCTTTTAGCTATATTCCAATCAATGTTCATTGTCACATTGTTAAAAGGGTTACAAACAATTATACCTTTACTTATGGTGTCAGTTTTATCAAGTCTTCTCTTTTGGTTTGTGGGTGTAGACAGTTCCATCCAAGGTGGCTGCAACTAACTATTAAAATTAAATGACATTTAACAATCAGTTATTGAAATAAAGAAACTGATCAGAAACACAAAGGTTTTTGTGACAAGTATAAATCAAGAGTATTTATTAAACAAGAAAAATAGATAGATTGTCTTCTTAAAATAGATGACATCTTTAATCTAGATTAGTACAATATTCCCTAGTCAAGAGGTTGTTTTCATGTCTTACAACACAGCTCATTTTAATTCTACACGAGATGTATTAGTTTTTCATGCAGAGGTTGTTTTAATATATTCTCACATATTATTACATTACACAACTTATTATACTGGAGGAATTTACAGAACAGGTAACACAATACTGCTGCCAACTGTTTCTTGCTTACAGATTGTAAACAAATAATTATCACATATTAATTAATCATGAAACCTGGTGTAATGTAACATCACTAAGTTTAGATGTCAACTGTACTATTCACACTAATATAAGTTATTATAAGCTGTTGATTTTAATTTATCATTCATTTAGAGAAAAAAAAAAGTTTTTGACATTTTCATTTTGAATAATCACCTTATGCAAAGAAAGGTCTAAAAGATGAATTCAAAGACTCCAAAATTCGGGCATAATTAACCCTAGTTTTGAACTGCTGACCAGATGTAAAGCAACCAGTTGCCATCATGCACTGCCTACATGACCCCTCTTGACTAAGTAGTGAGAATGGCTATCTTTTCTGTAATGCCCACAACTAAAATTGTGGAATTCACTTAGTAGCATATTGCAGGGTCAAACCTTAAACCTCTCAAGTTGAAGCCTAGTATGTTACCCACTAGATCACACCTGTCTAGTTAGTATACATTCAGGTTTTACTAAAAGTTAAACATATACCATTAAAACTACAGAAACAAACTTAGTTGTTCTGTGAAAACTTCAAATTACTGAGAGATGATATTACATTATCCATTGATTAATCTCATGCAAACAAATACCACTGAAACTTAACATTAAACCTAGATCAATAAAGCTAAACTGTGGCTAACTGAAATCCCTACTTACTTACTTGTTAATTCAACACACTCCTTATGCTAACTCATAACTTACAATTATAAAAATAACAAATACTAGATTTTAATTGAGTAATTTGCTGCCACCACCCCTGAAAAATAAATTGAATGACAAATTAAATTCTAAGTGTAAATTATTTAGCAATTTAAGATTTTTAGGCAAAAAGAAAAACTCCAACAAAGGACTTGGAGGTTATAACAGTATTTTGAAATAACACTTTAAATGAATGTCAAAAATAATTTCAGACAGAATAAAGAGGTCATGATGGTTTACAGCTGATGACTAATACACAAGGTGGATGATTTCTATGGTTATAGTAAAATCTGTTAAATGTATTTATTCTAAATTCTGACACTTACTAACCTGTGGATTAGTTGGGGAATATATCACTTGCAGGATCACATCACTGTAGTTTCCAAGTTTGTTTATATGACCACCACGGATGTCATACAAGTAAATCTACACCAAAGGAACAAGACGTAGGTGTTTACTGTAGTACATACCACTCTCTGGCCATTAACAACAATTAATGGGGAAATGTGTAGAATGTATACAAAATTTTCTATTTATATGCTAAAAAATAAACTGTTTAAAGTTTTCCAGCACTGTAAATCTATTTGGTATGGAACAAGTAATATCCTCTACTTAAAAATTAATGAATAGTTAATATAACAAATAGCATTACAATCATATTTTTAACACTGAAAATAAAAATAAGATAATTTATAGACTAGAGGACTGAAAATTCTAGTTAAAATAGTTTAGTTGTAGTATTGATTGATGAAGCCATATTAAACCTGTGAAAAACTTGTATTAATTTTTTTTATATATTCTGCACCGTAGCCATTCTAAATGAATGTGTATACTAAAAAAATAAAGAGAAGTTCTGACAAAGTCACATTGTAAGTTAGGTGTACAATTTAATAATTACAACACAGAAAATCACCACTACTTTAAGTCAAAAACTCACCGCTCGGTTCTCTGCACCTGTAGCAATGTATGTTCCACATGGACTGAAGGATGCAGAACAGGGAAGCCTGGTGTTGGGATGGTCTTTCAGTCGTTTTACACATCTAACAGCATTATTTTTTAATTAAAATGCTAGCACGAAAGTCGTATTTTTAATCTTCAAAATAATTGCTTAGACAGCCAAGTAATTTCAAACATTGTGCATTCAAAAGATCTCAAAAAATATTTTTTAACCACAAAGAACAAAACTAATTACCAAGAAAAGAAAAATGCTTTGATTAATATTTTTCAAGAAGCAATAAATAATTATTTCAATTTTCCAAGCTTTAAAACTAACAAGTTGCAACTGTTAGTCAAAAGTATTATCCAAATGCCAATATAAGCTTCCCAGCTAGTAAAGTTTTGACACAAAATGTCACTTGTCTTTTCATATTGGTAAAATAAATATAAAATATACTTCTACTACAAGGGAAGAAATTGTGAGAGGATTATTAAAATAAACACATTTTTATAGGATTAATATAACACACTAAAATAGACCAAAATATTGTTGTTAGCCAGTAAAACTGCATAGGTCTTGATTACAAAATGATAAAAACCCTATAACCAGAGCACTTTTGAAAGGTGGACCTTTCTTTTTTAGGGGCAAACTGATTACTATACTCTGAGAAAAATCAAACTTTCCATGTCTAATAACTGTTAGAATGTCTTGGTCTTTAATCTTTTCACTGTGGCTGGGACTTATATTTCCCAGTGCTCCTACCCCCCTCACACTTTGACTGGGATCAAGTCAAAGTTCATCATTGGTTTTAGGTTAGTATACATGGCTAGATCATTATACAAGCACACAACTAGGATAGTGTAAAACACACTGTCCAAAATAGTATAAAAGCACACTGTGAATGTTTAAACAGTAGCATTCAACATACAAGTGGGTATATGAATATATAAGAAATGAGAAGTGCACAGTAATATTATAATATTTATTCTGAATTTTCATTTATTCTGTAGATGTGCAGGTTTACTATAATACTGGTGGTTGAGAAAGCTTTTAAGTTGATATCATTCTAGCTTCCTTTGTTATTCTCAAGTGGATAATAACTTTTCTGCATGTGTTGTGCAAGGATGTAGACAGTGTCCTTTAATAGTAGTTCAGATGATATACTGAGGTTAAGGCCTCATCCATATTCGAAGGAGAACAACCAGTAATGTAGGTAGTGCAAGTTTCTTCGAGTAAATACAACATTTCTTGCAGAGTAAGGAACACTGGATTTAGTCACTCTGGTACATGGACTCAATTTGAGCAGTTAAACATAGAAGGTCCAATATAATCAATTGTCAAAAGCAATTACACCCACCGTGTTTGTGTTTTACATAACATAAATAAAGATTGTTCATTTCATGTTTCACCTTGTGCCCAGTTTCATTATTTCATCTATTCTACAAGTCAGATATATAGCATTACTTTGTAAGCTGTATCTTGACCAAATTTCCTGTTATTAAGTGAGCCTATCCCACTGCTCTAAATTTAATTCAGTCGGACCTAGATAAGCCACACAAGTATACTAAGTTTATTATACATGCAAGTTGTCTAGGTTCTTATTTCAACTCAATCTGATCCACTCATGTTTTGCAATGTGTAAAAACATAGAACCAATAACAAGTCAGTTAAGTATACAATAACCACATTGCAATAAACTGAAATTTCGTTAATTCTTTTGATCTTTTTTTTTTTAGATAGGAAAAAAAATTATCATATCATCTTAGGTATTCATAATATCTTAAATTATGAAAGATATACAAGTTCATACTTTTTTCATTTAAAAGTTACACTTTGATATGCTGCATCTTTATTATTATTACAAGTTAAAGCTTATTCAAGGCATCAAGTTTATGTTTTCATTAAACTTACTTATTTTCTAAATTATTGTACAAAAATATGATGAAATTAATATCAGAGCACTATTTATATTAGAACCCCCTTTTTTTTAATCTTTGAAACATAAGATCAGTACCAACCTTCTGTTTCGTACATCCCAAAGCTTTATCCCATCTGTTATAGCACAAGTAAGAAACAGATTGTAGGCTGAAGTAGGTTGGTTAGTTGATGGCGATCCCTGTTGAATGTACAAGTTTTAGTAAAAACAATACATTAAATGTGGTTTTAGCATACACAGCAAGCAGCAAGTGTCACTATTAAAACATACATGCTCATCACAGTACACTTATTCTATAATACAGGCAATACTCAAGACCATTTTTATGTTTATAATTTAAGAACTTACAATTTATTTTGAACACCAATTATTTATTATTATCAATTTCACTTGTGTTATCTACAAATTAGAATTATGGCAGGGATTAATAAAGCAGTATTGTTTATTTATTAATTTTGAACACCAATTATTTATCATTATTTTCACTAAAATTAACTTTACTGTCATTCATGTTCTGTTTACTATTAAGTAACAACAGCTACGCACCTTTTTATTCATATGAAAGTATCTGAAGCTTTCTGCCAGCATAAATCAGTAACAAGTAATGAATCCAATGATAAATTAGGTTTCATATTTATTTTTAGTACTTCAAACAGTTTGTTGAACAATCTAGAATAATATATTAGCACCATGAATGCTCCACAATCTTCAAATTATATATAAAAACAGGTTTAGTATGGTGAGTAAATGACAACTAAAAACATCATATGTATAATATAAAGTCCACTGCTATACGAAGCCTGGTCTTGTTTCTCATATTTGCCCATGTCCAAATTTACTGATATGGGGGAAATTACCCAAGACCAGTGAACTGAATGATAGCTTGGACTTCATATTTATTTTAAGTTTAGAAAATTGGTAACTATCAAGAACATAAGCTAGAATACTTTTGGTCATTTGATGTTCCTGGAAAATTAAGAAAATGCACGCACAACTGAAAAAAAATTCAGTCAAATTAAAACATACATATGTGTAGCTAGAAAGAGAGAAAGAAGACACAAAATACTTGTGAATGTTATCTCACCATGTTCAGTGAGATGCAGTGAGCTGGTCGAGAATGGATTTCATTTTCTTCTCTGACTACTTGACCTGTATTCATATCAATAAAGGACAACCCCCTTATGGAGGTGGCACAAACTGCCAATTCTGTTTTGTTCTAAGTGAGGGAATATTTACTGCTAAATTAGTATGTAAAACATCATATTCTTAAAATTACAAAAGCTTGTAGTCTAGCACACATTTTAAATGGACAATTTATAAATGAATTGCTTTAACTGAAGCTGGAAAAAACTTCATATCTGAATATTTAGTTTCAAACGATTTATTATAAATTTATTATGCTTAGTTATATTTTTTAATTATTTCACCTGATGAAAATAATCTTCATTAAATGAAATAAAAGTTACCACTATTAACAAATACGTTACATTAAGAATATTTTCCAGGCTGACAATATTTTCGCAAAGAACAAGAGGGAATCCTCAATAGCCGTGGCACTCGGAATTCTTTTAGGCAGGATTAGATTAAATTAAACTCCAAGACTTTTTTTGTACTTCTTATAAGCTATATTTTTGTGTGCTAGCAATACCAAACCATGGGGCTCGCATATACCCAATTAGATTTTATTACTCATCAGGATCTCTGGTGTCTACCCTCAAACTGAAATTATTTTAGGCAGGATTAGAGTAAATTAATCTAGCAGACCTTGGGCATGGTCAAATACATCAATCGAAAGGGTTTAACCTCCTTAATCCAAAACTGTAATTAGTTCTAAAATCAATCAAGAAATAACAGAGCTACGAGCTAAAAGTTTGTACTTGAAAAAAAACTCGGAGCCATTCTATGAGCTGCTATGCTGTGGCTAAAAATTACATAATCTGTTATTTATGTACACTAATTTTGCTAATTTTTAGGAACGACTTTAGAGGAATGAAAAATCTTAAATTGAAATGCTAATGTGATCAAATGCGTTGAGTTGAGAAAGTAGATCACAGATCACTCTTAGAGAAGACTCTACACAAGGGCAGTATGTATGAGAGAATTGGGAAGCCTGGCCTCCCTAAATGGGTGAAGAGAAACAGTATATCTCTGACCACCCAAGGTGCAACCCCCTTCAACACCTGTCATGAACAAACAGTCTCTCCAAATAAAAGGTCCCTTACATAGAATATATTCACCAACTCAAAAATACTATACAGTATATCTCGCAGTATATGCTACCTATGACTTTATTACCCTGACCAACTATATTAAGAGAGTAGATCACAAGGTACTTTAAGGGAAAACTTTACCCCAATGAAAAATTTTAACTAGGAATGTTAATGTAATCAAATGCATTAAGAGTAGATCACAAGCCACTTTCAGGGAAGTTTACACTAATGAAAAATTTTAACTAGGAATGTTAATGTAATCAAATGCATTAAGAGTAGATCACAAGGCACTTTCAGGGAACAGCAAAGCTAAGAGTATACATAAACACTAAATTGCAACACATTCACCAGAAAGCAATACTTCGAGCAACTGCTCTTCACAAGTCTCGACTGGTTCTAACAACCTGGACTGTATATCCAAAAAATACATGCAACACAGGGTGTAACATTATTTACATGAGTAATATCATTCAACAATACTGTAAAAAGTTCAAGCACGTACAGTTCAATGATCGGGAAACATTAAAGTGTACTAAGTTGGGACAATCAAAGAGTTTAAGTGTTAAGAAACTGAAAACATACTTATCAAATTGATTACACCATACAAAAAATTAAAACTGAATCGAGAAATTGAATGAAATCATTTTCTTGCAGTTTGATAATGAAATAGGAAAATAACTAAATCAAAAGAAAATGCTGTAATACAGAAAGAAAAATATTTTGTTAAAGTTACTTAGTTCTCAGATTTAAAATCAGCTCTTTCCATTCTTTCAAGTGGTGTATGATATTGTGCATACTTACAAGTTAGCTAAGCAGTGTCTATTGGTGTTAAAGCTCAGGGGTAGCCATTAGTACTAGAGCCAAGCATTATCCATAAGTGTTAAAGCTAACCAGTTTTCATTAATGATAAAGCTAAGCAGTGTCCACTAGTGCTATAGCTAAACAGTCTCCATTAGTGCTAAAGCTAACCAGTATTTATTAGTGTTAAAGCTAAGAAGTGTAAGTTAGTACAAAGTATTGAGAATCAGGAAAGTCAAGGTTCCCATTTTTTACTTCTCTCAAATGATCACAGAATTGATTCTAATTCCCATAATAATCCCTTTACTCTGTAAACTGTAATGACAATTAGACTCAAAAGTGTTTAACCTGAAACTAAGGCCTGTTTAACCTGTTTAAATAACGAAGTGTCTTACATCAATAATCCATCATTACGAGAGAAGAATATGTAAGGGGACTGAAAGTCCATCATAAAGGTATGGTAGTCTAGAAAAAAGGATAATAACAAGAGGTTTCAGAAGCATGTAAATAATTATGTGGATCAACTACAGGCATATATGGTAGACCAGTCTAAATGATTTCATTTGGCAAGATTTCTAGAAGTTAAAAAGGTTAAATTAACAACAGAAGTTTATTACGGTCAACAAGTTTTTAGCTGTCTGCTTAACAGTCTCTTGAAATGAAGTTAGATCTTCATTGAGTTGGATGCAAAACTTTTTACCTGCAATTTGTCTCAATCATTCTTCAAAACATTTTCATTTTCAAAAACAATGGCACCACCTTCATCTGCTTGTTTAATCACAATATTTTTGGCTTGTCATTATCATAGCACAGGTTCTAAATCTTCTATAGTTTTGTTCCTGTATATGGCATGCTAATTTCTTATTGGTTTTATGTGAGGGCAGATGTTCAAAGTTTTCACAGGAGTCCAACCCTAAACGTATGTAAAATTCATTGATGATATCCACAGCACTGCACCAGGTGATGCTAAACTTGTACAAATTTTATCCATTTCTACATACAGAGCTTAAATTCTGGATTAAACTGTACATGTAATCCCTCCAACAGTAATGTTTCATTCCTCAACATCACTATAACGACATGAAATGACACACTAGTCTACTTTAATACAAATTACAGTCATTAATATTCTGCTGTCATTAGCATTTGAAACAAAGAAAAGGAACCTTGACTTCCCTGTCTAGAAATTATAGCATTAATGGACACTGATTAACTGAGTCAGTATTTATACTAAAATCTACACCATTCAATAAAATGGAAAGGGCTGAACATAAAGTAACTTTTAAAAAATATATATAATTTTTTTTCTTTCTGTAATCCTGTATCTTCTTTTGATTTACGCATTTTCCTCTTTCACATTCAGATTAATTTACTAAGTATTCTTCCACCTTACCACTTACATTGCATGTTTTCACACCTTACATTTTTAAATAGTAACATTTTTTTCAAGTTTTTCTTGTTGGGAGGATACCTATCATAGCTGCTTCAACCATCACTTAAATAAATATCTTTATATTTTAATGTTTTGGCATCAAAATTTTCTTGTGAATACATTGACCATTCAACAGTTTCTCTATAACATGGTAAGAAAGGGCAACAAGGTTAATATTTTAGTAAAAAAGTGTAATGTAGTCATGGTAATAGGATACGAGAATGAAACTCATTAGTGGCTCCAACAGCTGTCACAGTTTTTACATAAGGAATACAGATGGAGGCTACAAGCTGGGAATGACTAGGGTGGATATACCTGTAAATATAAAACTCCTTCATTCAATCATTTAATAAATTGTTCTTCACATCAGTAAATCAAAAGTACAGAGTGAGATAAGGAAATAAGAATAAAATGACAATAACAGATATTTCTTTAAAATATAACAAAATGATGAATATTAGACAACTGCAATTAAAAGTGTTAAAATTCTGCTTATAGCAGAACATTTTTTCAGGACAACTAATTAGGCTAGCTCTACATTTTGCAGCACACACAGACAAAATGTTCCAATTTCATTCACTTCTTTACTACAAAGGATTGAAATTATGTTTTACAGATCAATGAAAGGAAGTTGCTAATTATATTAGCTTTTTCTTCTTGTAAAGAGTTTTAATTGCCGAGTGTAATTATAACTTCTCTATTCAAATAGTTTTCCACTGAATTAATCTGCAAAACTGTGAAAAGATACTATACAGAAGTTGAGTACATTTATTAAAATGAATTTGGAGCCTCATCATGTCATTACAGTCTTTTCACCATGTTTGATCATGCTTTAACTGAAAATCATGAATGTTGACAACAGCCCTGTACTTTTGTTTCCACTGCAAAAGGCTCCATCATAAGACTATGATGTTCAAAGCACATTCCCCCATAATCCATCTGCACCCATTTAAACAAACAGTCTGATCACAGAGAAATTCATAGGTGCTGCATCAGGCAAGTTCACTGTAATGTCTTCATATGGAGTATCATGGATACACATTTCATTCTCCAGCTACTTGAAGTACGCAACAGTTTAAGGGATATGCTGTGGAATCAGCATGCTGCTTTTCCAGGTGATCCTTCTTAAATTGGGTATTTTTGCCTGGGAACTGTGGACAACTCTTGTCACTGACCTTTGTGTTTGTGAATTCTCACCTGCTTCACGTAGCCAAAACTATGATACGATTAGGGTATGACTTGATGCATATTTTTTTCTTTGCAATGTCATTAAGTACAATGGATATCATCATTTTATAAATTCTAAATTTCCAACCTTAACACATCTTTATGATCTGAGTGTATGAATATTTTGTATTTGAAAGGGTTGTTACATGACCTTACCAAAAGCAATAATTTTTAGTGGAATCACACTATCTATGAAATGCTAAATAATGTCACAATGTAGTTTTCATCAAGCCGTAACAACAAGACTTTATATCGGCTGTGCTTGTCATGTGAATTACTGATTTGCATAGCAAAATCTTTTTAATATAACATACTCAACCCTTTATAGAAAGAAATTTTACATTTCAAAATACATTGAAATATGAACAGATTTTGATGAATAACAAGTACAAATCTAATACAAAAATCTGGTAACTAATAAAAAAAAGAAAACGTTCAATATAAAATTACTTGCAAAATACCAAATAAACTGATAAAATTTGAATATAACAGGCAAACTATATATTTCAAAACCCAAAAATATTCCATGAAAATATCAGAGAAAGACTTTAGTTAAATTAATTACAGGGATGTTACAATATTTTCTTTATACCTACATTTATGTTTTTATTATTCTAACTAGCAAATAGCATTTCACATTCTGTCTTTATTTTTCTTCACAGAACCAATTCAGTAATACATGTAGACAAATACAACCTGAGTTAAAAAATATATTCCACATTTTACATACACTTACCTAAATACATCATCTTTCTGTCTGTCTAGGTAATAGTTGTACATATAGAGAACATTTCTACATCCCACCAAGAGGAACTGGTCCAGGTAATAAAACTGAGCATGATGAACTTCAGCAGGAAATGTGGATTGCTGTAAGTGTACAAGATGGATATTGGATAGTTGGAAATTAACCATACATATGAAGTGGACATAGCCAAAGAAATATGAGATAGAAACAAATACTGTAGAAGACCAAGATCCCTTTTCTTCATAACACTATTAAGGTTACTCCCATCCAAATTATAATTATAATTCAAATTATGATAACCAACAGGCATTATCTTCATTTATTATAATTAAATCCAATCTGCCATTTGTTTGCCAAACTCACTAAATGATCTAAATCCTTTTGTAAAGCAGCATCCTCTTCCTCACAACCGGCAACACCCAAGACTTTATTATCATCTACAAATTTAGGAATTTATTGACCATTCCTTCATCTATAAAAATGATGGAAATCAAGAAGAGCAAAGGTCCTAAGACTGAGTCCTGAGGTATCCCACTTGTGACATTAATCCAGTTTGACTAAACTCCATTTATAACAAACCTCTACTTTCTTCCATCTAGCTACTCTTATATCCAATTAGCTAACTTATTTCCCCACACCTATGGAGATAACCGTCTTAAAAGCCTTTTATGTGGCACCTTGTCAAATGCTTTCTGAAAATCCAGATACACCAAATCTACACCCTTATCCTGAACTACATAAGCAGCAACCTAATCAAAGAATATCAAAAGATTTGTAAAACAATATTTTCCCTTAGTGAAACCGTGTTCACTATACAATAAAATTATAAACTTATTAACTCTTTCAGCATGGGCTCGGTCCCAGGGACTACCCTTTTAACCATTTCATGCTTGTTATAGTTTGCATGCTATAACTTTTACACTAGTAAGCATATGTTAACAAAAATTTGGCAGATTATCAGAAAACATTACAATGCCTTCATACACAAAATATAATTTTTTTTATTACGTCTTAAGGTTTATAAAGCAATGTTTTTCTCATGTCTTTTTTTTTTTCACTTGTTGCCTATCTGTCATGCAAAGTAATTTTAATTTTAAGATTAAAAATGATGCATACTTTTATGCATCAGAAAATTTTCAAATTTCACATGCAAAATCTTTATAATATCCAGATAGTTATCAAATGCTTCTTATATTTTATCCATTACTTTTACTAACGATTTTTTTGTATGGGTTCCATAGATTTGAACAATCTTGTAACCAACATAAAAGATTATGAAATAAATATAAATTATGCTCTTTCATTCTAGAAATGACAACATATTATAACACAAAAACATAAATATTTAGACTAAAACAGCTTAAATCTCATAACATTATACATTTATATATATTTCTTATACTGATTTCAGTCATTCCTGGCCAACAATACAGAAGTTACAATGATGTGGCACATATGCTCTCAAGTTACCATATCCAATAATCTAAAACTGATCCTTAGTCTGTACAAAGTGACCTGTCTTGGTTGCATTTCATTACACTAGTATTTTGTAAAATACAGTCACATTTCAATTATTATACATTAAATATGTATATAGATTATTGCTATTTTGAAATAAGTTATTCAACTTATTTTTCTTAAAACATAGAACAGTAAATAAAGAAGTAAATCAAACAATTATCATTTCTAGTTATGACCTTTGTACTCGGTTGCTAAGTATTTTAAAATTTCGCATATGAAACAATTATTTTTTTTTAGGTTTTATATGTATATTTTAATAACTAAAAAACCATAAATTACTATATCGATACCATAGAATTCAATTATAATTTATCAAGCTTAGTAACTAAACTGTATTTCAGTCTAAAAAAAAATATTAAATTTCAAGCAGACTAGAAACATAATTTACCTTCTTGAACCGTTTCCAAAAATGGAAAGTGGTGAGCAGGGCCACTGTGTTTGATTCAGTATATGAGTGATACTTCAGCAAATAGAAAAGATACAAGGTTCTTATTTTATATTCTAGCTTGTCAATATTGGTAATTTGAGTTTCCAATTTGTATGAAACTACAGATTTAGTATTTTGACATCACAAACATCATCCATCAACAACACCAACTGCACCCAACAGATCACATGACACACAAAAATCAATAAGGTTTAACTGTGTTTTTTTAGTATTTACTTTAAATTAAGAAATTAGATAATGTTTAATACTAGAATTTGATTATAATCTACAATATTATACCAAAGTTATTGACATAAATTCATGAAATAATAGTTCAATAAACTTTTGAATGCAAGTCAACAAATGCAATGACATGGCCTTTGACCCGTGACCCATATGAAAAGGGTTAAATGACTTTGCAAAGCATCTTTTATCAGACTTTCCAAAACTTTTACCACAACCGATGTAAGGCTAATAGGCCTATAATTACAAGGTCAATTTTTATCACCTCCCTTGAAAAGAGGAGTAACATTAGCCAACTTTCAGTTTTCTGGCACCTGCTCACTATTCAAGAACTTACAAAAAACACAGTAGCAAATGGCTCAAGTATTCAATCCTTAACCTCCTCAAAAACCCTTAGGAAATATTATCTGGCCCAGGAGACTTATTGTTCTTTAAACTTCTCAATATTCTCTTAACAAGCTCAGAATTAATATGATCATCTTGTTCAGGATGAAGAATACTGCTTAAATATTCATTTGTAAAAACTGAAGAAAAAGTGAAATATAATAATCCAGCCATCTCATTATCATCACATATGAGCCTTCGTTTATCATCCTTCAAAGGTAATACCCTCCATCCTAACATTTTGTTTACCTTAATGTATTTAAAGAAATCCGTACTGTTAATTTCTACATTTTCAGCCAACCATTTTCCATTTAAACAACTTTCTTGATCTTCTATAATCTTCTAAGTCTCCCATCAAACCAGTCAATTTAAATTTCTTAAATATGCAATGCATTTCTTTAATTTTATCATATACCTTTGAGAGTCAAACTGGTTTTTATTTGCGGCCCCTCTTTTCTTTCTGTGAGGAAAATGCTTATCTTGAACATTTAAAAATTTATCTTTAAAAATCTTCCACACTTGATCAGTGTCTCCAAGTAACTCAGTTCCCAATTCTTAACAGATAATTCTTGTAGTGTCCTTTGCAAATTAGTTTTTTTTCAAAAGTTAACAATAAAACTAAAATAGCATTGTTTCTAGTAGGTTCCTTGACCAATTTGTGAAGAACATCATATTGATTCCAAAAACTTCTCTCTCTCATGGTTTGATTCTAAAATTTTCCAGTCTATATGCCTGAAATTAAAATCACCCATGACTATTATCTCATTAATTGTTTGTTTTTGAATTTCTCGCAAAGCTACATGAGGGTTATCTGCGCTAGCCATCCCTAATTTAGCAGTGTAAGACTAGAGGGAAGGCAGCTAGTCATCACCACCCACCATTAACTCTTGGGTTACTCTTTTACCAATGAATAGTGAGATTGACCATCACATTATAATGCCCCAATGGCTGAAAGGGCGAGCATGTTTGGTGTGACAAGGATTCGAACCCGCGACCCTCAGACTGCGAGTCGAGCGCCCTAACCACCTGGCCATGCTGGGCTTACCTCATTAATATCTGAAATCTTTATCTCACTGTAGTTTATTATTAATTTCATCAATATCATCTGATGGTCTGTAAAAAATTCCCACTAAAAGCCTTTGCCCTTTATATACACTAATAGAAACCCAAATAGATTCAATCTCCTTGCTATTTATTATCTTTGATATATTTTATATATAATGTCATTCCCTCCTCTCTATCCCTATTAAATAACCTATAACCCTGTATTTCAAAGAAATGTCTTTCATCAAAATTATCTACATTTAACCATGTTTCAGTTATTCCCATTATATGAATATCTTCCATTCCTACCAGTGCTCTAAAGCCATCAATTTTATTTCTTATACTTCTGGCATTACAATGGTAACAATGAAGCCCATCCTTATAACTTTTCTCTACATCTTATTCTTTTCTGCATTTAGTTTATCCTGGTCCTCACCACTGTCTATTCCTAGTTTAAAACCTCCCTTGCAGCTGAGTTAATAGCCCTTGTAAACAAGCCAGTCCCTACCTTATTTAAATGTATATCATTCATTCCAAAAAAACTCCCTTCTTCAAATAAACTGATCCCACAAGTCCAACCAGCCAATATGCTCATCCTTACATATTAGCATAAGTCCATCATTCAGCCACAGTGACCTACTTATAATTTCATCCCCACAATTAATTATCCACAGTTTTCCTGACATAATTAAGTTATTGCCTTTTCTTTAATTGCCTTTATCAACCCCTTGTGCTTACCAATTAGATCCTCTGACCTCTCTCTCCCTACACAATTAGATCCTACATGCCAAACAAAAATAGCATCATTGCTAGCCCTCCTTTATTATATATCTCTTGCTCTGTCAGTTATATCCTCCACCTGTGCCCCTGGGTAGCATAATCTAATTCTTTTCTCCATATTTACCCCACAGACTATCATATCCACATGACTTGTGAAAGAATCACCTACAACTCTAACCTCCTTAAGTTTATAATTCTTATCCTTATCTGTCCCTTTTGTTTTATTTCCCTCCAATAGTTCCTCACCTGTTGCTCAATAGAACAAGATCATTAAAATTAAATCTACTACTTTTAGTCCTAATAGTACTGTTTCTAACTTCCTGAAAGTCAGTGTTAGCTGATGTATCCCCTGCATGTAAAAGCTTAAGTTCCTCTTGAAGTCCTGCTGCCATTTCCAACAGTCTACACTCCCGTATGTCTATTGCCTCTACTTTAATTAGGATAATCTCTAACATGTCCTCCAACCTGCAAACTCCACAAACAAATTGCACATCTTTGCTGTTAGCTTCCTTTAAGTACAGACCAGACCCAAGTTTCCAAATAAAACCCACTTACCACACCTATCACATCTAACAACTGTGAATGTTTAACTCCTACACTAGTCTTAACCATTATATTTGTAGCCTGAGAATAATACTTAACACTAAATACCAGTAGCCTATTGACAACACTGTTAAAACTAACATTTGAGAATCAAATATATTACAGTATTTTATCAGTACT